AGTAGCTCCCTACGAGTGGCTAATGAATGGAATCGAAGACGGTTGCAGAGCGTGCATGCACGCACTGCCAAATCCCCAGGGTNGGAATTTTTCGAAAAATTTTTTCTTAGTGTACTGTACATTCTCTTCGTGTACCCCATTAAAACGCAATCAAAAACACAAAAACCCGCATCTAAAATAGTATAATAGAAGCAGAGTTCTTTACGGTAAGCCTTAATCCTGTCCCTCTCCCCCACGGGGGAATATTGAAAAATTCCTTTTTAGTGTATATTCTGTTGACATACCCTATTAAAACGCAATCGAAAACGCAAAAAACCGCATCTAAAATAGTAGAAATAGAAGCAGAGTTCTTTACAGTAAGCCTTAATCCTGTTCATCTCCCCCCAGTTGGGGGAATTTCGACATGTATATTATNTTTAGTGTATATTCTGTTGACATACCCTATTAAAACGCAATCGAAAACGCAAAAAACCGCATCTAAAATAGTAGAAATAGAAGCAGAGTTCTTTACAGTAAGCCTTAATCCTGTTCATCTCCCCCCAGTTGGGGGAATTTCGACATGTATATTATAGAAAAACACGTGCGTATTCAAATGCAGCGTTGTGTGAAAATTTCAAAGGAATTGGTAGGAACAAACGAACATTGCATTTTTATTTATACAGTAGAACCTCGAAAACTCGGCTCTCGATAACCCGGCACTCCGGATAACTCGGCCACACCCTGGCAGGGCAAAAAAATCCTTAGTTAATTAATTTTCATTATAGACAGCTTTATAAAAGTATAAAAGCTCTCATAAAGTATTTTTCTGAGGTCTGTCTTATCAGGTAAATTACTGTACACAGTGTATTCATTAATTTTCATTTTCATGTAGTAAAGGCTCTATGCCTTCATAAAGGACGTACTTTTCCTTTGTTTAAGGGTATTTGGGCAGTTTATTCTCTGTTATATTCTCAAGTAAACAATACATACAAGTACAGTACAGTATTTTCTGAGGAAACACTCGTACTTATTTTTTTAACCCTATTCCCGATAACCCCTCATTTTCACAAACTCGGCCACCCTTCGGTCCACATTAGGCCGAGTTTTCGAGGTTCTACTGTATAGATAGATAGAAGATGATCTGCTTTTGTTCATCCTCACAGAAAAGCAAACTTAGGGCGTCATACTCGTAGCACCATCTGTTGGACATAAAAGCCTTAACCCTAGACAAAAATCCATTGTAGTTTTATTTAATTAATAATAAATCTGCAGGTTTGATTAGTGGTAAACATTCCGGGGGTCATAAAGATGCTACAGTTAANAGCGCCATCTGTTGGACATAAAAGCCTTAACCCTAGACAAAAATCCATTGTAGTTTTATTTAATTAATAATAAATCTGCAGGTTTGATTAGTGGTAAACATTCCGGGGGTCATAAAGATGCTACAGTTAAAATTTGGTAACGATTGGTTCAGTAGTTTTCACGGTTAGTGGTCAGAAACGAAAAATACGTTGTCTCTTTATACAGTATAGTAGTACAGTATAGATAAAATGAAGAAATGCCGAATTTTAATGGTAGAAATGCATTTCACAAAGAATTATAGATGCTAACAAGTAATAAAATCTTTATTATGTCGGGTCTCACTCGAGATTTTACATTTTTTATCTTTTTACCCCTCGACGTGTTATTACCAAAATTTAATAGCATTAATGCTTCTAATACACAACGTACGGTATAGTACTAAATTTCGTTTTTTAATTTTCAACTTATTCTGAAATATTAAATAAAGTAGTTGCCAAAGTTCATATTCACTGCATTTTTTGCCATGTTTTTTGTGTGTAGATGATGTTAATATCTGAAAATTGGACATCATCTACAGAGTGTGGAAATTGATCAGATTATAGTACTTTATTTTTGTTATGTATACATAACATCGCTAAATGTAAAAAGGGAATTTCAACATTAAATTTATATATGTAAATTATAGTGTTTTAAACTTTTCTCATTTGGTAGTTTGAGTATTTCTCTTTCTTCTGCACAATAAATTAGAGAATAAACAATGAGTTTTTATTTTAGATCGATCGATGAGTTGATCAGGTCCACAATGGATGCGGCCACATGTTGAGGAAAATTACCCGATATACAGTCGAACCTAAGATTTAAGAAATCCTTGGCAAAACTCACTTCGTGATCTATAGAAACGACAATATTACAAAATACCAGATTTATTTATTTTTCTAATACTATGTAGACATTAATTAGATAAGCACAAATTATAAGAAATTAATAAACCCTACAATTCCTAATCATAATTAGTTGTAAAGTAACTGTTGATTACAACAAAATAATAGAAACATTGCGGCCGAAGTTTTCATCGCTAAAACGTGAACGTCAAGCGCCGTCATCTTGTAATCCTAGAAGTTTGACAATGGCGTTTGGAACGTCAAACGTGGCGAGTCGAAGTTCGGCTTAAACATTTGCTTTTTCTCTCTTTTGGGTTAAATTTTTGAAGTACTTTATTAAAATAATAATTATTTAAGCATTTGTGAATAACATTGTAAAGAAATAAACGATTTTAATCCAGAAATTATTTAAATTTTTTGCAAGTGACGTGAAGTGCCTGTGTAATTTACATATATTTGTGTCCATAACAGCTCATCGTAATACTGTAGAAGTTTTTTTTTAATTTCTAGAAAATAATTCCCCAAGCTGCTTTCTTATTTATATAAGCCACTACTTCCTTCTACAAAAGTATGTCTTGGGAACAAACAAAACGCAGTGAAATTGTCTTACTGTTACATCGTACGGTAGGAGACTCGACGCTAATTAAAGTCAAAAATAATTACTTAGTTTAACTAAATATTCTCTAAATACTTTTAAATTGTTTAATATGTTTATTTGCTTTCGCTGGTAATTTCGTCATTTTTAAATGTTTTCGCCAGTTTTCAGCAATATAGGCCTACCACTAAATAGTGCGATACGTCACCTTGAGGAGCAACCTGTTTTACTTAGGGTGCATATACTTTTAGTTTTGTATGGATCGATCTGTAAAATCGGATCACTCCATGTGATATAGATAGCTTCTGTCATGGCGAAAAGTATACAAGTAGGATTCAAGATGGCGGAAAGTTAAGGAATCATTTTAGATACGTTATCAGAATTAGATTCAGAATCCGCGGAAGAAGAATTAATTTGTGTTAATTATTTAGCACAATACAGAAGTAAAAAAAGAAGTGCAAAATGCAAAGTAAGGTATGCAAAATAACTAACTACGTTTCAGAGATTGCGTTAGAATATACGCCAAATGTTTTTAAAGAACACTTTCGAGTAAGTCGACTTACGTTCGAAAATTTACTGAAGGATCCTGTTCTCGTATTATTATAATCAAAAGAAATAGTAATAGGAAAAGGAAGAAATGAACTGTCAGTTGACCAGCAACTTTGGCTGCTTGACAACCAAGAATCTTTCAGGTACCAGTAAGCAAAATAACAGATTTTACTGATTGATATAATTTTGTACTAAGTGTATTATATTGTTTTCATACATATTACAGAGGAGTTGTCATTTCGAGTTTGATTTAGAGTTTGTCAGATGACTGCATGGGGATGCCTGATGAAAATCGTTAGAACTATAAATGTACTGAATGCACAAAGCCGTATTATAAATTGGCTTTCTGCTCAGAAGGAAAGGAAAACTGCTCAGACGTTTGCTATGAAATACTGGAGTTATTGGCTGTGTAGATGGGAATCATATAGTAATCAAGGCCCCTTTAGAGGAACCTCAAGCATATATAAATAGAAAGGGATTTCACTGCTTAGTTCTACTGGGAGTATGTTATGAGAAAATGTGCTTTATTGATTGTTACATTGGTGAAGTTGGATCTGTTTACGACTGCGCAATATTTAACAGATCTGAAGTGTATCACAGAGTTTGCAGTGGTGATGGCTTTCTACACGCAGATTTTCATATTATAGGAGATGGTGCATACTAACTTTCAAAGCATTTAATACCCCTTTACAGAAACAATCGATTTTTTTTATTAAAATCTAAAATTATGTTTAACAATAAGTTCTTATCGTGTCGACAGACTATTCAGATAGCATTTTTCTTTCCTTACAGAGAGCAATCTTTCCTTACAGAACTACTCCCTGGCTTTCACTGGGCTAATTACTATATAAATAACATAGATCTGTAGCAAAATCAGCCTACTTCATTAGTAATATGTATATCAATGGACAAGATTGAAAGTGAAGAATCTCGCTTGTTTTTTTGTTAATTTCCCAAAAGACTAAATAATATCTACAAAATTTTCAAGGCAATTAAATTTCATGCAATTTTCTTATAGCTTATATATGAAATCACAAAAGACGGATTTGTAATTTATAAATGTGTAATGACTTTTATATTATTTTTTCGACTGTTATATATAACAGAGGGAAAGTATAACGATCGGTCAAAAATGACTCCCCACGTTTTTTACATTTCTAAACTTATAACACCTTCAAACGCCGAAAAATGCAAAAAAAAGTGGGGTTTATCTATATGTATGGATGTTATTGTGTGGAGGCGCACCCGATTAAAACTTAATAACTCTTTTTTCTTTTGTCGAAAGGTTTTGAAATTTTGCAGGAGAGTTAGATTATTAGGGAAATTGACGCTATTAAATTTTCCTGCTTAAAAATTAAGAGGGTGAGGAGATAACGGATGTATATCTCCAGTAGGATCGGACTTAATCATGAATTTACTCGTTATTCGCATTTAACTTTTTTTTTTTTTAATATAAAACTCATTCCTACTCTAAAAATTCAGTTCTTAGCCTTTCTATAATAGTTAAAAATATCCTTTTTTATTTAAAAAACGATTTAATACAGACAGAACAACCAAAATTTTAAAACGTTGCCGGAAAAGTTGAGCAACTCGTTATTACTTTATATATCATAATTGATTCTTTGCATATTGTTTAGTCTGTCAACAATGAATTTTTTATTCCGGAAAGAAACTCTAACAGAAATGAAATAAACATGGAAAGTAAGTATCATGTTACTTATTTTAAACTTTTTATATTAGTATTATTCAGAGGACGGCTGAAGAACTGCACTCGAAGTTTCAACTATCATACATTTGTGTATGACAGTTGAAACTTGTAAGTTGTGATCTAATGATTCATGTTATCTGCTTTGTTCATAAATCCGCTAAAATAATAATAATAATAGAATGTATTAAAACAAAGTAAACTAGGGTTATATAACTTATTTAATGACATAATTATGTATATATTTGCGATGTGTTAAAAAACATGTTGCTAATATTTTTCAAAAACATAGTATGATTAAAAAATTTTCGTATTTTGATTCAAAAAACTGAAAAATTCACCGATTTTTTCCTTTCAACTTAAAATTCATAGACTTTTTTCTAACACGTTTTCTTTTGTTTTGTTTTTAAACAAACAACATAGGTATACTCTATCAATTATACAACTACAGCAGTAACATTTTAATATTGCAGCAATGTTATGTTTATCGAAATATAATAGATATTTCATTATGTTATTTTTTTAAACTTTCAGTTGAGAAGGAAGAACAAATTGAGAAACGCGGTATTCAGCACAATTCAGAAAAAGAAGAACATTTTAAATATAATAACAAAAAAAAGAAATACGTTCATTCGACTAGAAAATGCAATACAATTCATGATAAGATTAAAAGGAAATACTTCAAGATTATGTTTGCATCTCATTCTAAACAAGAATTTACGTGTGATTTATGTAAAGAAACTTTTAAAAATAAGAGCATATTACAAACACATCTGTTCTGTCATATTGGAAAAAAACCATTTCGCTGCACAACCTGCAATAAGAAGTTTTTGTGGCAATTTCTTTTGCGAAGACACGTAAAAGAACACAGTAGTTATGCCTGCAAAATATGTGGAAGAGAATTTAGATTGAACTGTATATTGTTGAAACATGAACGAACACATAGTGAAGAACGTCCTATCAAATGTGATATTTGCAATAAGAGTTTTAAATGCAAAAAGTATTTAAAAAAGCATTACGAAACTCATAGTGATGAACGTAACTACACTTGTCAGGTGTGTAACAAAAGTTTTAAAACAAAAAAATATTTGCAAGCTCATAAAATAGTTCATAGCAATCAATTTAAGCATAGTTGTCAGGTATGTAACAAAAGTTTTAAACGCAGTTTTTATTTAAAAAAGCATACTCGTATTCACAGCAACGAATACAAATATTCTTGTGATATATGTAACAAACATTTTAAATCAAAAGAGTATTTGCCAAGGCATAAACTTATTCATAGCAAAAAATCTAATATCAAGCGAGAGTGCGAGTATTGCGACATTTGTGGTAAGCGCGTTCCATATGGTAAGGGTCGTTTAGAAAGACACATGAGAATACACAGAGTTCATGCCTGCAATATATGTGGAAAAGAATTTAAGATAAAAGCTGAGTTGTTGCAGCATGAAGCAACGCATAGTGAAGATCGTCCTTTCAAATGCGATATTTGCAGTAAAAAATTTAAACGGAAAGACTATTTAAAAACGCATCACAAAACTCATAATGATGAACGTAACTATACTTGTCAGGGGTGTAACAAAAGTTTTAAAACAAAAAAATCTTTGAAAGCTCATAAAATAGTTCACAGCAATCAATTTAACCATAGTTGTCAAGTATGTAACAAAAGTTTTAAACGCAGTGATAGTTTAAAACAGCATATTCTTATACACAGCAACGAATACAAATGTTCTTGTGACATATGTAACAAATACTTTAAAACAAAAAACCATTTGGCACGTCATAAATTAGTTCATAGTAATCAATTTGACTATACTTGTCAGGTATGTAATCGAAGTTTTAAATCCAGTTTTAATTTAAATCGGCATATTCGTAAATACAGCAATAAGTGCAAATATTCTTGTCATATGTGTAACAAATATTTTAATACAAAACATTCTTTGGAACAGCATAACATTATTCATAGCGATAGAAAAAAGTATGTTTGTGACATATGTAAAAAAGTTTACTCCAGTTCAACTGCCTTAAACAAACATCGTCGTATTAAACATGAAAATATGTATTTATGCTATATCTGTTGGAAGTTATTCAAGACTGAATCCACGCTAAAAGAACATTTGAAAATTCACATTGAAAAATGTAATATTTGTAATAAAGAATTTAAAAGTAAATTTACCTTAATTAAACACCAAAAAATTCATTAAGACAAAAAACCGTTTCGTTGTGGGAATTTCAATAGACGTTTCAAACATGTATTAAAATGTCACGAAGCCACTCACAAAGAAGACAATCTTCGTTACGTTCGTGAAGTATGTAACAAAGAATGTTATTTTATAAGTCGTTTATTGAGCCATCAACTCGTTCATCAGAATTAAGCGTATTTTTGGAGAAATAGTAAAAGCAGATTAAAAACAGAAACTAAACTGAAATTACATTTAAAACTTTTCATTAAGAAAGATCCCCAAACAATTACCTTATCAATATGAACAGACTTTTACTTGAGGAGAAGTTTTAAAGAAGCATATGATTACTTTTAATAATCAGATTCATTTTTACAGCGTAAAAAGAAATATACAACAAAGATCGAATTCCAAACTCATCAAGAGTATGTTCATCCCACAGGAAATAAGCATCAATGCAAAATATGCAAGAAAACATTTAGAAAACAGATTGGATTAATTAGGCAGATGAGAAATCCCGATTTACGCGTTAAGAAATGTGATGCTTGTGGCAAAAAATCGTGTTCAAATTATATTTTAAATATTCACGTGCGAAATCATTTTTCACAATGGAGTTGTTCTTGTGAAATGCCTCAAAATAATTTACATATTTTAAAATAATTATTGTATTCTGTTTGTATTAATAAAATAGATGTACTAGAAGATATTAAACAACATACTTCTCTTTATTTTTATTATTAATTTTAATTATAACGTGCATTAAAGATACTTAACATTGTGAACACTAAGTCTAGTAAAAAGGGAAATAAATGTATTGTGTATATAATCTTTGAAGAAAGATGTCAAGACTTTTAATTAAGAATTTCTGGCAAATAATGAATAATTTGTGGAAATTTTCTTAGGATAAAAGGATTTTGTATATCTATTGATCACAATCTATGTCGGTAATGTTTAATGTTAATCTAATGTATAATTAAGTGTATTAGTTATACATTAGATTAACCCAAACATGACGTCAGGTAGACACGACGCAATAAGAATTTGATGACGGTGCCCTGTAACCGATTTTCGCACAGTTGTACAAAACATTGTAATGATTGGTTTTCATTTATCACGTGACTTTAAAGTCGATAATATAAATGACGTAGTGAGTTTTCAATCTCTGTATCTTTAGTCTCTGCCTTCATTTATATATTTATAATACACTGAAAATTCTCCTTTCAAGCACTACGAAATATTTTTTTTATCGAAAACATAAATATTGAAGAATTGAGAGTAGCTTCAAGTCGAGCTTGACGTGATGCTGTTGCTCAGCCATTGACAAAGAACATTCTTACTCTATGTTGCTTAATTCGGTGTTCATTGCTCTCGGAGTTCTCCGTTGTTCTTATTCTTTTAAATCTACCCTTTACCTGACCAATTTTACTCTTAAGCTTACCCCCAGGCAAAATAGCGAATCTTTTTATTTTCACTTTGATAAAACAAAGATAAATTTTATGTAGGGTGGTCATCACCCAATACCTAAAAGGGAGTATACTGTTAAGGAGAACCCCCGCGAAACCTGTTGATCTCTTTGTGTTTTCCGTTTTTTATACGTATATGTATAAATAAAATACGTAAAAATAAATGTATGGAATGTTCAATAATCAGTGATAATATTAAACACTGAAAATCGTACATAAAGTAACAAATGTTAAGAAACGAAACAAAAATTCAATACTTTATTTAAAAACGAAAAGAAAAACAGTACAATACTGAGGGCGTTGCTGTCTACTTTTGATATTTCTGTTCTTTGCTTGCCATTTTCAGTAGTTTGTTGTTGCAACAATACTTTTGTACAAAACTCGGCATTCTTCTGTAAAGTTAATAAATATTTGGAGTTCTCCTTTGACAGAGTTTACTTTCAAACGATTTCTCTCATTTCTCCATACTAAAATTATCATTGTGAAAATTCGTTCGGCACGAGCATTGCTACATGCTATGGAGAAGATATAGGCACTGATTTTCTTTAGATTGTGAAAAGGAATTTCTATGTCACTGTTATTGAATAACTTCAGATAGCGTTCTTCGCAGCTGCTGTTTACCATCTCCGGATTATTGATATTGGGCTCCACCAGTGGCGTGCCGTGACATTTGATGATAGGGAACTGTAAGACAGCGTTTCTGTAAGAAGCCGACTTCCAGGGGGAATTAGTCAATGATGGTCTAGGGTCCATTCGTATTCGTTTGTTCGAAAAGCCAATAAAAACCATAGACGTCTCTAAATGTGTTTTTAATTAATAGATGATCTAACGCACTTAAGAAATAAGCAAGTTTAATATAATTACCTCTGTTATATTAGATTCGATATATTCCCTATGCCCTCTAAATTCTAATTCTTGCTTCGATAACATTACTAATTTGTGTATAATTTATCTATTAGCCGTAACTTTGTTATAATTTTCAATATTTCTTTTATATTTTTACTAATGTTAAATTCTATTCTGTTTTGATTTCCAAATTGCTTTAATTTTACGAAAGAATCGATGCGAAATTAATGATTTTCGTCTCTTTTGCCAGCTTTACTTAAATTATTTAAATCGTCAAAGCCAATCTTATTCCACACACTAATTTTATTTGAAAATAGTAGGCAAGGCCATCAAAACAATTTTTGCATTTTATAAATTTTATCGTGGAAATGTCGAAAAAATTTTTATTGACGTATTTATATTTAATTTAGGCATTGGTCTTTCTCTTATAATAATATTTTCTTTTTCATTATATGGTCTCGAGCTAAAACTTTAAAATAAATTTTCAATATCGAAATTACATTCTAAATAGCTAGCCATAATATAAGGGCTAAAATTAAAAATAAAAGTATAAAAACTTACTTGTTAAAATAAAATGTGTGATGGATATACAATTATACATACCTGGTACAAAATATTCAATTGTATGAATATACTTTTAAAATAAATATAGTTTTGTGAAGAAACGTACATAAAAATAACATAAAATATTCTTTACTTTTTAAATATTAAAACAATCCACCTAGTTAAAATTGCTCCCTACCAGTAGCTCGTGTTTGGAATCACAGACGGTCTTGGTAGGTGTGCGGTGCGTGCATGCTTGCCAAATCCCGAGGGTGCCGATACAGGTTAACGTCTTTTGTCGTATCACTAGTATATCTCAAAGGACACGACAGGGCTGTTGTAGATTTTAAACGTTTCTCACCATAGCTGTAAAAATCTAAATACAGTATGTTAAACTTAATAGTCATTTGATTTCTAACTAATTTGTTTTAAGTCCAGGTGTCCACGGAAATTTCCAAAATTTACAACTTTTAGTCACTTTCATTCAACTAAAAAAATTTCTGTATATTTCGTCTAATATTACGAAGAAATCAGTACACACTGTACTCGGTTAAGCTATTGTTTAACCGAGTACAGTGTGCAACTAATAAGCTGGTTAAGAAAAATTTCAACTTATTTGTGTCCCCACTTCCCTAAGCGCTTAATTATTTAACTACTTCTTAAGTAGAAATAAGTCGAAACCAGTTACTTTGTACTCGAATATTTGTAGTCTCGGGAAAATGTGGAAAGACAAATTTTTATGACAAAGGATATATAAATGGAAAATTTAAGGAAAATATATTCTAGAGCTTTTTCTGTATTTCGTGCATCTCTCTCATTTATTAAATTTAGTTGTAAATGACGCTGTCAAAGTAACGGTTAATTTTTTAACATTGTACAAGAGTTGTACAATGTTAAAAAATGTATTTTTCTACATCCCTTTAAGGGTGGGATATACGAAATCGTAATAGCACTGGTTTAACGTTGAAATCCGTGACTAATATAAAATCGTTGAGCGGAATAAAAATATCAAATATTTTTATGGATTTTTTTAAAACTTCTGTCAACTATACAGAACTATCATAAAAACATAGCAGTAAACTCTTATCGGTTGGGTTAAGTTATAAATGTACTCGTGATTCACATAATCGAAAGAGGGGAGGCCAAATATTTAGTAGGCAGCTAACAGCACAGAACTGATCCTGGATAGAATTGGAAGTGAGTAGCTTTCACCAGCTAAATTGTTTGAAACCTGGTAAAAACTGAAACCTGGTAAAATCAGCTGAAACTAGGAAAAATAAACCTTATTTTTCCTGGTTTTAGCTGATTGGAAAAATAAACCAGGTTTATTTTTCCAATTTTTCATCTGTTTGACGAGCGCCACAATCAGGATTCGAAGTTAGCTGTCTGACATTTATAAAAAGAAAAGAAAAAAAAATTATAACACCTGTGCTCCGGTCTAAATAAAGACTTGATTTATTTACATCCGCTTCATTTCTATTTTATACATTTTCTTCTATATAATAAAATAAATTTTAGCAAGTTTAAAGAAAAGTTGAAAATTATTTTGGAATCGTTAAAATGCTAAGCAATTTTTAATTATATTTTAATTTAAAAAATTACAAGTCCGGAAGTTCGTGTAAAGTTGTTTCGTATTTCAAACACTCACTTCCATATATCAATCAAGAATCCATATATCAAGAAATCAAATCAATTGAAAACTAAAACATTGTTTTTTTTAAAACCGTTTAAAAGTTGTTTCGAAATTTCTCAAATTTAAAATGAAATGAATTTTTAAATTAACGTTATTTATGTGCAGTAGTCAAACAACATTGCATCTACACACATACAGATTTAACGGTTGTAATTTCATTTATGTGTTTTAAGGTTATAATGAGTTTTAACAGGTATTTTTATAAGACAATGGAGTTTTATATAAAATGTAATCTGGACCAATTTAGCTGTAAAATTTTTCTATAATATAGAAGAAGCTTAGGTATCCGGTACTACCCGACCTTCCCCTATTAACAAAGAGACACTCAAAATTAGCGTAAATAATCGGGTTATAATTTGGAAATAATAATTATGAATTACAAATGAATTTGGCACTAGAACGAGGCGTCAGGCGCCATCTCGTATTAAATTTTCTAAATTATAGCCCGATTATTTACGGCAATTGTGAGTGTCTATTTGCTAAGCGTAGGGTTTCGGTAGATGATTATATTTGTAGTATTTACATCTCTTACATAAAAATTATTATACAAATAAATAACACTGAAATAATACATATGCTGTAATTTCTACAGAACGAAGTGTAAGACTTTAATGTAAATAAGAATTGTACCGAATAAATAGTAAAAATACAAAAATGTAGTAATATTTTATTTAAAATTATGTTTATATATTTATAAAGAACATTTCGAGTGATAACTAAAGTTCTAATTTAAGTGAAAAGCAGCGTATCCTAACATTCGATATTGCTTGCATACTATCACTTCTTTTTCTGACAACTAGGGGTGCTGGCTGCAAGATGACGTTTCGAAGTGTCACGTGATCGAAGGGATCGGTTCCTCAGTGAAACTACTTGTCACTTATACTAAGAACCGTCGGTTGGTAGTGATGTTGGGACCAGCGGGTGGAGGATAGAAAGATACTAGGTAGGTTAGATACAAGGTATTTAGTAGAGGTTATTGGCGGAGTAGAACTAGTTATATAATGTTCGAGTTCGGATTCCTTGGTCTAATCTTCAATGGCGGACCAACTCTCGATAACGANCACATACAGATTTAACGGTTGTAATTTCATTTATGTGTTTTAAGGTTATAATGAGTTTTAACAGGTATTTTTATAAGACAATGGAGTTTTATATAAAATGTAATCTGGACCAATTTAGCTGTAAAATTTTTCTATAATATAGAAGAAGCTTAGGTATCCGGTACTACCCGACCTTCCCCTATTAACAAAGAGACACTCAAAATTAGCGTAAATAATCGGGTTATAATTTGGAAATAATAATTATGAATTACAAATGAATTTGGCACTAGAACGAGGCGTCAGGCGCCATCTCGTATTAAATTTTCTAAATTATAGCCCGATTATTTACGGCAATTGTGAGTGTCTATTTGCTAAGCGTAGGGTTTCGGTAGATGATTATATTTGTAGTATTTACATCTCTTACATAAAAATTATTATACAAATAAATAACACTGAAATAATACATATGCTGTAATTTCTACAGAACGAAGTGTAAGACTTTAATGTAAATAAGAATTGTACCGAATAAATAGTAAAAATACAAAAATGTAGTAATATTTTATTTAAAATTATGTTTATATATTTATAAAGAACATTTCGAGTGATAACTAAAGTTCTAATTTAAGTGAAAAGCAGCGTATCCTAACATTCGATATTGCTTGCATACTATCACTTCTTTTTCTGACAACTAGGGGTGCTGGCTGCAAGATGACGTTTCGAAGTGTCACGTGATCGAAGGGATCGGTTCCTCAGTGAAACTACTTGTCACTTATACTAAGAACCGTCGGTTGGTAGTGATGTTGGGACCAGCGGGTGGAGGATAGAAAGATACTAGGTAGGTTAGATACAAGGTATTTAGTAGAGGTTATTGGCGGAGTAGAACTAGTTATATAATGTTCGAGTTCGGATTCCTTGGTCTAATCTTCAATGGCGGACCAACTCTCGATAACGAGACTGCGAAGTCACTTGTCGTCTTCGATTTTTCGCTTTCATTTGGAGGTCCTCCGCTTTTCTTCTTATGCCCATCTGTATAAATACATATATGTGTATATATGAATATGTAAATAATCGCTTATAACATCGCTTATTATAGTCGATTGTTGTAATAATAAGTAAAGCATCTAATAGAGACTATTCTAAACAGATGTAAACTGACCTACATTCGGCGAAGTCCACCACCCACAGTACAGCCTTGATTATAAACAATACGTTTGTAATCAAGGCTGTAAATTTTACCATGTTGCAGTGTTTGTTCGAAAGAGAAAAATATATATTTTCAAGTTATAAACATTGCAAATTAATCGGGACTTTTTTAAAAATACTTTTTTTCGAAAATTTGTAATTTAAATATGTTAGGAGACTATGAATGATTCACAGAACCAAAATTAACGTTAACAAAAAGGGCGAGTTTATTTCTACGTCTAATCCGTTTGAGGGGCAGCAGAAAAAGTGGGTACCAAATGGACAAGTGTTTACGTAAAGGTCGTAAGTTATGTCACCCATCTGACACCTGACCAAAGTTCACACACTTTCGGTGATTAAGTACAGGGTAGGAGAAGTTCCACGAAACTTGCTACAAAGAATTGCTACAAATCTCCCCGTTTTTGGGGAAGTTTCGTGGTTACATTTAATTTTATTTAATACAATATTCATTTTACATTGATTCTGTCTAAGCAGATTTTTAATTTAAGTGCGTTTAATGGTTTCGTCAAAAATCTGCCGACATTTCTTCCGTCGGGATGTATTTAATAACAACATTACTTGATTTAACGTTTTAGTGTACATATGATATTTTTCTTATTACATGTTTCGTTTTGTAGTTAGAACTTCCGTTGTTGATTAGGCTTATCGCAGCTTGATTATCGCTATAAATCGTAATTGTTTTGTTAGAACTTCTCTCTTATAATTCATTTAGGATCATTTTTAACCATGTTGATTCTTTCGTAGCCTTGGTCAATGCTGTCAATTCACTTTCGCATGTCGGTAACGCCGTTTGGTTCTGCTTCTTGCATTTCCACGATACGAGATTCTGTCAGAGTTGAAAAAGGTATTCGCTATTCGAACGTTGACCTACATTCTCATCTTTCCAATTAGCATCTGCGTATCCGATTCAGTTGTTGCTTTGGTCGCGTTTGTATACGATTCCCTTACTTTGGGTTCCTTTTAAGTGTCGAATCAGTCGTTTAGCTGCTTGGATATGCATTACTTCGGATTTTGAGTGTACTGTGACAGTTCGCTGATCGGCTGACACAAATCGGGTCTCGTTGTTAAACTGATATACATCACACTTCCCAAAATTTCTTGGAAAAGTTTCTTATTTCCGCATGGCGATCCTTCGCTGTCGTCTTTGTTTGTTTGTCTGTCTTTGTTACTCGCTCTATTATTCGAGTGAAATTAATGTGGATATTTATTATTTGATACAGTATTGATTGATAACATTTTATTCAAGAAGGAGAGGTAAATGTTTTCTATTATATAAATTTTATTTATTTATTTATGCGAATATAAATTGAAACTCGACGGTTTTAAAATCTTTCATTAAAAACAGATTGTTGACATACGAGAACATTTTAAACTTAGAAAATGAAGATAAAAGTAGAGCCAGAAAATAAATATTCAGAATTTACATTCAACGGAGGTGATGAAAAGTTTGACGTTTTAAATAATTGCAAGAAAGAATTTAATACGGATAACAAAACATTTTGTAGAAGAATTAAATCAGAACCTTTAGAACATAAAAATTTACAGGTGAGTGAAATGTACTTTTGTATATGACTCTACCGTTGCTTTAAAATGTGTTCGGGACTTAAGTCTCTCTAGGCTTAAAATAGGGAGACTCTACTCAAGGTCGCTCCTATTTTCGATAAAATCATTTAGAGATGGACTATGATCGAAATACTGATCTTCACAAAATAAAAAACCTAAACTTATTCCTTAACAAAATAATCCAGCAACGAGTTGCGTAACTTTTCCGGCAAACTAACTTTAAAATTGTATATGGCAGTATCTGTTAAAAAATTTTATTTAAAAATCTTTTTATACTATTAGTTTTATAAAATGGCAAAAAGCTTAATTTCGAAAGTAGAGATAAATTTTATAAAAATTTGTAAGTTTTAATAACAAGTAAACTTTTCATTTTTTAAAATTTTTTGGGTTGACAGAGTCTTAAACGTGGAGATTTCCAAAAACTGAGGGACAAATTTGACAAAATTGTTATACGTTCGCATTTCATATGCATATAAGATTTATTCTAATTGTAAGACGAGTTACAAGAGCTGAAACTTATTCTACTTGCATAAAACAAAATACAATTAACGAGCAATTATTTATTGTTACATGGTCACAATGCCGTGCTATTTTTAATGATATTTTTAATTTATTTAAAAATATACGCTTTCCAGCTGAAATTGTAGTGGCTTGCCCTGTTTATTATACTTCTTGTTAGTAATACAATCGTGCCGTTTTTGTATTTAGGGAAGGAGAGTCAAATCAGGCAGAGAAGCAGATAACCGAGGAAGGTGGGAATAAGTGGAAAAGGTTTACAATTTTTCAAATTGCATTCCAGTTATTAATAAACTATATTTTACTTATTCATATAATATCACACATATAATTGGGCTGAAATTTAATAGATTGTAGACAATTAAATTTTTACTGTCATCTGTCCGGCTGTCTGTTTTTCCCCAATCTCGAGAATGGAGTTACATGGATACCGAGACCAGATATGGAAACCAAAAAGACGGAGGCCTTGATAACTATATACGAACTTTCGACGCAATCCAGAACTCGCGTTATTACAATTCAAATTTTCTCCTGAAACGACAAGACTGTATTGTCAAAGGAAAAGTATGATGCACCGGCGCAAGCTACTACTAATTTAAGGCATAGAGTATTTATTTTAAATTAAATTAATTAAAAATACGATCAAATATGCAGCCCGGCATTGTCATTGTGTCACAATAAATAATTGCTTGTATTGTGAATGAATTTGTATAATCGCACAATAAAAATAATGAAACTAACACATTAGTAGGCCATAATTTAAATATTAATTAAATGAATTTATATGTTCCAATTTAAATACTTTCTTATCAAGTTTTCTATAAAGAACAATTGGTCTGATAATATAATGTAGTCTTTTATTATTTCAGATAAATATTAAAGGAAAGCCAATTTCCACGAACAACACAAACGGATCCACCATTTGGAGTCATTCTGGTTATAAAATCGAAAGAGGTAAGAGTCTTAATACTTGTAATATGAAAGTATGTTTCTACTAATAAGAAAAATATATATAACACGTAAAATAAAAATGTTACATTTATATTACACATTGAATAAATAGAAATGTAACATTTGAAAAAGTTTGCGAATACGTTGTGTATAATGAATAACAAATTCAATACTTTTTAATATTATGAGTAACATTGCTAATTCAGATGTTTTAGAAAACGAAACGAGCATTTGTTGATTGTAACATCGTCCCAATACCAAGCTGCAATTTTTAATTTATTTAACTTAAAAGATATGTTGTTCACCTCAATTAGTAATGAGTTGCCCCGTGCATCATACTTTTCATTTAACAATCGTGCCATTCGTCTCGTTAACTGTATTCAGGGAAAAAGTTTAAATTGAAATAACGTTACTTTTTTTAGAAAACGAAAGTTCATGTATAGTTAATTCAGTCATTCTTCTTCTAACGTTTCCATATCTGTTCTCGACTTTTATTTATCTAACACAGGTCTCGAGATCAAGGAAAAACAGACAGACGGATGAGAGTGGAAATTTATATGTCTACAATTTTTTGAAATTGCTGCCCAACTCTATCATAGAATTCAATTTTTTTTAATAAAAAGTGAAAAAGTCTGTTTATATTATTATATTTTATAGTTTTCATCGATATATTTAAATGATATTGTGAAAGCAGTGGGTTCTTCATTAATGGGTGCTCAGACTGGTATGTATTGTTACTTCTCACAGGACTAAAGTTTTTAAAATAGTAATTTTATGTATCCATAAATAAAACTCATTCCTACTTTCAAAATTCAGTCTTTTGCCATTTTATAATAATTTCTAATACTTACCAATTGTAACATCTTTGCTGATAAAGTTCCGTAACTCGTTGCCGGATTTTGTTTCTTTTGAAATCAAATTCAAAATAATTATGTGCACTATCATAGCATTACATATTTTTTTTTTTTTTTTTGCTTATGAGAGCCGGTACCATGAAAGTAAATTATCTATCGTTAGCAAACTCGATACATAAACACATCACTTATAAGCTTCATTTAAGTTATTTTTTATTTTAGTTATTAAGTACCTGTGCATATAATATTAATTTAAGATTAAGCAAAGCATCCTGGAACCACTTCTAATTGGATAGGGACTGTATTCATCACGCAGTAAATGCTATCTGTTGACATGTACTAAGCAATATGTGCTTGTAAGAAATGTTGGAATGCCATGAGGAGAGGATATTTCTTGACCCAGAATACACGTGAAAATAAATCCCTGTACACGTAGATTATGCTTATACATTACTTGCGTCGAAAGAAGTTTTTATTTCATATACATTTATGTATTATATATGAAAAAATGTGTGAGGAAATGACACGCAGATTCGTAAATCACTTTGCAGTACATCGTACATACGTCTGAATTTTCAGACATAAAGTTTTCAACGTCGACAAATAGAATATTGTAGTTCAATCTTTCTTTATCTCCGCAGCCTCGAATGGCCCCTTTATTTACAAAATGTCCGCTTTCAGGGCTCTAATCCGCAGAACTTATACCCATAGCTCTAGCATTAAGGACGCGCTAAGAGAAATCCAACGCAATAAGTGCCTCGCCACAGCTTACGGTTTCAACAGTAAGTTTATTGATAGGCTTGCCCAAAAAATTCATAGAGGCTTAACAACCGAAGATGGCAATTCCAAACCTCTAAAGCAACAAGGTAAGCGTATTACTGTCGATTTTGACCTTAGAATGAGCCGTGCCTTTAAATTCATAGCAAAAAAGGGTCAATGCTACTCTCGCATACAGACGCAACCCTACGGTTTATAAACTTCTAGCTAATACCAAGGACAAATGCAGTGAGCCAGGAGACCAGGAGTCTACACGATCCCATTAGAGGACAGCAGATCTAACCCGTGCAAGAGGCTAACATACATTGGCTCAACCAATAGATCACTTAAACGGAGGATAGCTGATCACAAGTACGACGCATACAACAAACAATTCACTTCTACTCTAGCACAGTTTGCAAGCGAACCTGGTATAACGACCAAATGGGAAGAGGCGAGGATTATTATTCCTATGCGCGACCACACAAAGCTTAGAACGGTCGAAACAATCGAAATATTTAAGCAATCCCTCGAAGACGGTTGTATCAACAGCAGAGATGCAGACTTGCTCTCCTCCGCATGGAAATCATTCTTCGACAACCCCTTGAACTAAATAGACCAACCCACCCCCGCAACCGTTAGCGCATTTTTACTTGTCGCGTTTATTTTCCAACTCTGCCTTCCAATCGTAACCCCCTTCCCATCTACGGTCGGTCGCACGCCTCTTCTTACTGTATCGTTAAATATTTACGGCGTCGACTATGACGTCACTCTCCACGAACCCCTATCGTGATTGTGCATCTCCTATACATTGCGCGCTTAGCTTACAAAAATTTTTTTTCCAACTTTAGCGAGTATCCCATCACAATCCTTTTTTTTTACCAAAAGAAAGTATTTTCCGCCGTCAGTGTCGTCAATACCTATCATCAACGACGACGTCGCTGGTAAGACGATACCTGGGTAAACAGTGACAGCATTTAAACTTCTTCCAACCGACGCTCTCACAGTGTACAGTACCTGAAGAAGGCCTTTTAAAAAGTCCGAAAACGTTACTACTCTTGTATGTACGGCTAGAAATAAGAAAAAATGTTTTGTGTTGAACATCTTAAATATAGTTCTAGCTACAAGTGCATAAAAGTTTATTAAGGGGCTTGATGCTTTTAAATTTTTGTGATTAAAGTTGAAGAGGCGAAATATATAATGCGGGTCGTGTGTAATTTCAGTAGCGTCAGACTTAATGACGAGTTTACTCGTGTTCTCATTTACAATATTTTTTTCATAAAACTCATCTTTATCCTCAAAATCACGCTTTTTGTTTATTTTATAATAATTAAAAATATGAAAATATTTTTTAAAAAATATCATAAGAGATAACGCCACACGTAGTTTTAAATGTTTCCGGAAAGTTGAGAACTCGTTGCTGGTTTACTTTAATAACGAAAAGAAGTTTCTAATTATATTTATTACTAGCTGCAAGGATCCGCTTCGCTGGGATTTTATTTGTTCGTACATTTGTATGTAATATAGTTTTTTATATATATAAAAGACTGTTTGTCTAAGTAATCTAGAATCTAGCTGCAAGGACCCGCTTTGCTGGGTTTTTAAAAAGTAACGATAGTGAAAATTAAGATAATTACATTATAGACAATCTTACCCGTTTTCACAAAATGCAAGAATTAGGTCCCCCGTTTCCAGACTAATTAGAGAATTTTTACGTTTAGTCAAACGAACTATTTTCAACGTTTCTGGAACGTTTACAATCGTTCTATAATCGAACCAATATTCGAATTTTATGTTCGAATTTAATTCGAACAAATTCGAAAAAATCGAACAAAACATTCGAAATAGAAAGCCACTTTCAACCACTTTCAGCCTCATATCTCCCGCACCCTTATAGCTATCGAGACGCAACCACCCTGGTGCACGAATGGAGACTTGGGGCTACTACCACATACAAACACCATTCATGTGCGATGTGTAGTTTTGGCGAAAAAGTAAAATATAGTGACACACACGTCCATTTATATATATATATAGATATAGATAATTCGTATCACACATCACACCAATTCTCCGTGACTCATAACTAGTTTTCGGCTTGTAATCAGAAATAAATGATGTAATAAAACATGTAATTTAATATTGTTATCTTAATGAAAATATGCTCAGTTTTATTTTATAATTCAAGATTTTTTAATATCCTTTAACACAAAACTTCGTAAATTCCACTACAGATATCAAGAAAGAAGAAGTAGAAGAGAATTATGAAGTAAAACATGGTATAAAATCAGAATGTAAAGTTGATTTGAAAAAATTGAAGATTGAAGTAAAGACTGAAGATTATAAAGAAGTTGTTCATCTTCCAGATGATAATGAACAGGTAATGGTAAGTAATACAAATTTCGAAATATTTAATAGTAAAATTTTAATATTAACTTAGTTTTTTGAATGGTTGAAAACATATAGCCTATCAATATCAGTAATATATGATGTTTTGAATTTAGGTGTATTCTGTGTTAAATAAAAAATATGTATTATTATAAGAAAAAATCTAATAACGAGTTGCGTAAGTTTCTTGGCTGTTAAGATATTTTATTTAAAGAATAACATTTATGTTATTAATCACAATAAACAAAAAATTGTCTGTGGCACGATATGTTATAAAATTTCTATCATTTCAATTATTATAAAATGAAGAAATGCTTAATTTTAATTTTAGAAATGCATTTCACAAAGAATTATAGATGCTAACAAGAAATAAAATCTTCATTATGTCCGATCCCACTCGAGATTTTATATATTTTTTTTATCTTTTTACGTAATCTCGACGTGTTATTACTCAAGTTTAATAGCATTAATGCTTCTAATATACAACGTACGGTATTAAATTTCGTTTCTTAATTTTCAACTTATTCTGAAATATTAAATGAAGTACAGTAGAGCGTCGTTTATCCGAATCAATTGGGGACTGGGGTTGTTCGGATAATTTATTTCTCTGATAACCAATTATTTACGAAAAAATATATTAATTTATCCCGTGTTGAAATTTTTCTCCGTTGCGTGTCGCTTCGCGTTGAATTTTTGTCGATGTTAAGCCTAACGAAGAGTATTGTATCGTTAAAAATTATTTTTTTATTTTGTACAAAATAAATATATTGAAAAATATAAAAACAATAAAAAATTATACTTCAGAACTTAATTTAGTATTAAAAACGTAAATTTGAGTAGCCGAAGACATAGCCAAAGATTACAGCGCCACAGCACAGGCGAAAATTTAAATTTGTCGACTGGAATTCTTTCGGATAACAGACGTTTCGGATAAACGACGCTCTACTGTAGTTGCCAAAGTTTATGCCTACACAAACATATTCATTGCATTTTTTGCCATATTTTTTGTCTGTAGATCAGGGGTGTCCAACCCGCGGCCCAAGGCAAATTCCAATGCGGCCCAATAAACGTGTAAACAAAACTGACAAATGTTTTAATTTTTTATTATTTATTTATTTCAACGGCATTAACTCAGAAAAAAAAGTTTCACAAATCCGTAAATTTTTATTTATATTTTATTAGATTCAGAATCCGAGGAAGAAGAATTAATTTTTGTTAATTATTTTAGCACAATACAGAAGTAAAAAAAAGAAGTGCAAAATGAAAAATAAGGTATGCAAAATAACTAACTACGTTTCAGAGATTGCGTTAGAATATACGCCAAATGTTTTTAAAGAACACTTTCGAGTGAGTCGACTTACGTTCGAAAATTTACTGAAGGATCCTGTTCTCGTATTATTATAATAAAAACAAATAGTAATAGGAAAAGGAAGAAATGCACTGTCAGTTGACCAGCAACTTTGGCTGCTTGACAACCAAGAATCTTTCAGGTACCAGTAAGCAAAATAATAGATTTTACTGATTGATATAATTCTGTACTAAGTGTATTATATTGTTTTCGTACATAAATGATATCCCACGATGTTACAGAGGAGTTGTCATTTCGAGTTTGATTTGGAGTTTGTCAGATGACTGCATGGAGATGCCTGATGAAAATCGTTAGAGCTATAAATGTACTGAATACAAAAAGCCGTATTATAAATTGGCCTTCGGCTTAGAAGGCAAGGAAAACTGCTCAGACGTTTGCTATGAAATACTGTTATTATTAGCTGTCTAGATGGGAATCATATAGTAATCAAGGCCCCTTTAGAGGAACCTCAAGCATATATAAATAGAAAGGGATTTCACTGCTTAGTTCTACTGGGAGTATGTTATGAGAAAATGTGCTTTATTGATTGTTACATTGGTGAAGATGGATCTGTTTACGACTGCGCAATATTTAAGAGATCTGAAGTGTATCACAGAGTTTGCAGTGGTGATGGCTTTCTACACGCAGATTTTCATATTATAGGAGATGGTGCATACCAACTTTCAAAGCATTTAATACCCCTTTACAAGGACAATGGCTTTTTTTTATTAAAATCTAAAATTATGTTTAACAATAAGTTCTTATCGTGTCGACAGACTATTCAGAGAGCATTTTTCATTCCTTACAGAGAGCAATCTTTCCTTACAAAACTAATCTCCTGGCTTTCACTGGGCTAATTACTATATAAATAACATAGATCTGTAGCAAAATCAGTCTACTTCAGTAGTAATATCTTTATCAATAGACAAGATTGAAAGTGAAGAATCTCGCTTGTTTTTTTTGTTAATTTCCCAAAAGACTAAATAATATCTACAAAATTTTCAAGGCAATTAATTTTCATGCAATTTTCTTACAGCTTATATATGAAATCACAAAAGACGGATTTGTAATTTATAAATGTGTAATGACTTTCATATTATTTTTTCGACTGTTATATATAACAGAGGGAAAGTATAACGATCGGTCAAAAATGACTCCCCACGTTTTTTACATTTCTAAACTTAGAACACCTTCAAACGCCGAAAAATGCAAAAAAAAAGTGGGGTTTATCTATATGAATGGATATTGTGTGGAGGCGCACCCGATTAAAAGTTAATAACTCTTGTTTCTTTTGTCGAAGATTTTTGAAATTTTGCAGGAGAGTTAGATTATTAGGGAAATTGACGCTATTAAATTTTCCTGCTTAAAAATTAAGAGGGTGGAGAGATAATGAATGTCATGTCGGACTTAATGATGAATTTACTCGTTATTCGCATTTAACTTTTTTTATATATAAAACTAATCCCTACTCTGAAAATTCAGTTTTTTGCTTTTTATAATAATTAAAAATATCCTATTTTATTTAAAAAACGATTTAATACAGACAGCGCAACCAAAATTTTAAAACGTTGCCAGAAAAGTTGAGCAACTCGTTATTACTTTATATATCAGAGTTTCTTTGAATATTGTTTAGTTTGTCAACAATGAATTCTTTACTCCGGAAAGAAACTCTAACGGAAATGAAATGAACATTGAAAGTAAGTATCATGTTATTTATTTCAAACTTTTTATATTAGTTTTATTCAGAAAATGCCTGAACAACTGCATTCAAGTTTCAACTGTCTTACATTGAACTGGGATTTGATATATTAGATTTATAACTACTCATATCTTATTAATATGACCTTTGAAGTTAATAAAAATTTTTTGGGATGATCGCAATTACTAAATAACAACTCATGAGTTGTGATTTAATAATTCATGTTATCTACATTGTTCATGAATCCGCTTTAATAATAATATTAATAATATATAATGTATTGAAACAAAGTAAACTAGGGCTATAAAACTTATTTAATGACATAATTAAGTATATATTTGCAATGTGTTAAAAAAACTGGTCANAACAAAGTAAACTAGGGCTATAAAACTTATTTAATGACATAATTAAGTATATATTTGCAATGTGTTAAAAAACATGTTGCTAATATTTTTGAAAAACATAGTACGATTAAAAAATTTTCGTATTTTGATTCAAAAAAATTAAAAATTCGCCGATTTTTTCCTTTCAACTTAAAATTCATAGACTTTTTCTCTAACACGTTTTCTTTCGCCTCGTTTTTAAACGAATAACATAGGTATACTCTATTAATTATACAAGTACAGCAGTAATATTTTAATATTGCAGTAATGTTATGTTTGTTGAAATATAATAGGTATTTCATTATGTTATTTTTTAAACTTTCAGTTGAAAAGGAAGAACAAATTGAGAAACGCGGTATTCAGCAAAATTCAGAAAAAGAAGAACATTTTAAATATAATATCAAAACAAACAAATACGTTCCTTCGACTAGAAAATGCAATACAATTCATGATAAGATTAAAAGGAAATACTTCAAGATTATGTTTGCATCTCATTCTAAACAAGAATTTACGTGTGATTTATGTAAACAGACTTTTAAAAATAAGAGCATATTACAAACACATCTGTTCTGTCATATTGGAAAAAAACCATTTCGCTGCACAACCTGCAATAAGAAGTTTTTGTGGCAATTTCTTTTGCGAAGACACACGAAAAAACACAAAACTGGCAATGAAATCGAAGTAACACATAGGAATTTACGTTTGCAGCCATCGGAAAATCGAATGAAGTCATCTCCAAGAAATGGTAAAAAATCTAATATTCAGCGGAAAAACGTGTATTGCGACATTTGTGGTAAGAGCGTTCCATACGGTAAGGGCCGTTTAGAAAGACACATGAGAATACACAGAAGTAATGCCTGCAAAATATGTGGAAAAGAATTTAGATTGAACCGTATATTGCGGAGACATGAGCGAACGCATAGTGAAGAACGTCCTTTCAAATGTGATATTTGCAATAAGAGTTTTAAATTGAAAGAGTATTTAAAAAAGCATTACGAAATTCATAATGATGAATGTAACTACATTTGTCAGGTATGTAACAAAAGTTTTAAAACAAAAAAATCTTTGGAAGCTCATAAAATAGTTCATAGCAATCAATTTAACCATACTTGTCAGGTATGTAACAAAAGTTTTAAACGCAGTTTTTATTTAAAACGGCATACTCTTGCACACAGCAACGTTCATAGCAATCAATTTAATCATAGTTGTCAGGTTTGTAACAAAAGTTTTAAACGCAGTTCTTATTTAAAACGGCATACTCTAGCACACAGCAACGAATACAAATATTTTTGTGATATATGTAACAAATTTTTTAAATCAAAAGAGTCTTTGCCAAAGCATAAACTTATTCATAGTAAAAAATCTAATATCAAGCAAGAGTACGTGTATTGCGACATTTGTGGTAAGCGCGTTCCATATGGTAAGGGTCGTTTAGAAAGACACATGAAAATACACAGAGTTCATGCCTGCAATATATGTGGAAAAGAATTTAAGTCGAAATATATGTTGTTATATCATGAACGAATTCATAATGAAGACCGTCCTTTCAAATGCGATATTTGCAGTAAAAGTTTTAAACGGAAAGACTATTTAAAAATACATCACACAACTCATAGTGACGAACGTAACTATTCTTGTCCGGTATGTAACAAATATTTTAAAACAAAAGTTAATTTGGAAGCTCATAAAGTAGTTCATAATAATCAATTTAACTATACTTGTCACATATGTAACAAAAGCTTTAAACGCAGTGCTAGTTTAAAACATCATAGTCCTATACACAGCAACGAATACAAATATTCTTGTGGCATATGTAACAAATACTTTAAAACAAAAAACCATTTGTCATATCATAAATTAGTTCATAGTAATCAATTTGACCATACTTGTCAGGTATGTAATAAAAGTTTTACATGCAGTTCTGGTTTAAAACAACATATTCGTAAATACTGCAATAAGTGCAAATATTTTTGTCGTATGTGTAAGAAATATTTTAAGACAAAACATTGTTTGGAACAGCACAACATTATTCATAGAGATACATAAAGGCATGTTTGAGACGTATGTAAAAAAGTTTACACCAATACAACTGTTTTAACCAGACATTGTCGTATTAAACATGAAAATATGTATTTATGCTATATCTGTTGAAAGCTATTCAAGACTGAATTTACGGTAAAAGAAAATTGGAAAATTTACATTGAAAAATGTAATATTTGTAATAAATGATTTAAAAGTAAAATCACCTTAATTAATCACCAGAAACTTCATTAAGACATAAAACCGTTTTCTTGTTAGAATTTTAACAGACGTTTCACCGACAAACATGTATTAAAATGTCACGAAGCCACTCACAAAGAAGACAATCTTCGTTACGTTCGTGAAGTATGTAAAGACGTTTATTAAGCCATCAACTCGTTTATCAGAATTAAGCGTATTTTTGGAGAAATAGTAAAAGCCGATTTAAAACAGAAGTTAAACTGAAATTACATTTAAAATCTTTCGTTCAGAAAGATTTTCAAACAATTACCTTATCAGTGTAAACAGACTTTTACTTGTGGAGAAGTTTTACAGAAGCATATGATTACTTTTAATAATCAGATTCATTTCTACAGTATCAAAAAAATTTATAACAACAGTTAAATTCCAAACTCATCAAAAGTATGTTCATCCCACAAGAAATAAACATCAATGCAAAATATGCAAGAAGACATTTAAAAAACGGATTGAATTGTTTGAGTAAAAGTTTTTCTTGTGATTTGTCTCGAAATAATTTACATATTTTAAAATAATTATATTATTTTGTTTGTATTAATATAATAGATGTACTAGAAGATATTAAACAATAGACTTCTTCTTATTTTTATTATTAATTTTAATTATAACGTGCATTAAAAATACTTAACATTGTGAACACAGTCTTTAGTATAAAAAAAAATAAATGTATTGTGTATGTTATCTCTGGAGAAACGGACACATACTCTCGCGCCACTCGACGTTTCTGTTAAAAATGTCTTGCATTTTCTTCAAGAGACGGCCGAGAGCTAACGTTTGCCTATAGAAATATAATATTTTCTACTACATTTCCATCAAATGTCATTATAAATATATAATAAACGGACACGTACTCTCGCACCACTCGACGTTTTTGTTAAAGAAAGTTAGTTTAAAAACTTTTATATTGTATTTTGATAGAACTGACCTTACCAATTAATCCTCCTGCGATTGAAAATAACGGCGCCAGTAAAAGAGGAAAAAACCCGCCAGACTGATTAACTAAAATTTTTTTTAGTATTCAAAGGAACGTGTTTTTTACTTAATTTCTTCATAATTTCGTTGAGAATGATTAGTTTTGGCTAATAGGCTATATCCAAAAAAAAATACTTCGTTCATCTGAAAAACACGAATCTCGCACTGAAAGTTTATTGTCTGTTTTACGATAAAGTCCAATAACAAATAGCCAAATTCCTTTTATGTCGTTTTTTAAACGCATCCATAAAAAACTTAGATTCAACGGCAAAAGCTTGTGTACCCAAAAATAATTGAGACAACTTAATTTCGTCAGGATTATTTTTAAACAAAATCAAATACTGGGTATTTAAAGTTATATCTTTCATAATTCTATTTACCGGAAACAGATTTTGCATTATCAGAATAACACTTATATTATAATGGTGAAATTCTGTCGTAAACAAGAACGCAGTTTTGGAACTGAGCTCGTCTATCAAATCATCAATTATTACTAAATCCCATCCTTGTACAGATTCAGGTAGACCGTACATGAATGTAATATCTTTTCTGTCACGAAAAAAACGGTAAATATACAGAATAACATTATAAAATTTTTTAAAATGATTTTTCGTAAATTTTACATTGAATAATTTTTCTTACTAGCGTAGTCTTTCCACATTGCGACGGTCGCGCGATTATACAATTACTAGGATGCTTGAAATACATACTAGGGTATTATACAATTACTAGGATGCTTGAAATACATAGATATACACCTGTAGCGGCTTATAGGATCCTATAAGCCGCTACAGGTGCTATCCCCCTGGCCACCAGCGAGGCTTAGGCAACGGGAGTGCGACTCCTCGCCCCACTGCCTTCAGTATGCAGGCTGCGGCCCCTAGGCCAGCACTGGGCGTGCAAAGCCCAGTCTTCCTCCTAGGAAACTGCTTCTTCTTTTACCGTGTGGAAGGGAGATTTATGTGGCTCGAGCTGCCACGGGCTGAGGCTTTACCGACTGCATTCGTACGCTTTTTTAGGGTTCGATTATCGACCTCGCGCCAGCGAGAAAAATGGGGAGTTCTGTTAAAAAAATTAGCATTTTTTAACGAACGTAAGAGTGAAGCTCAGAAGAAATCAACTAAGAAAAACATACAACTACACATTGATTTTATGATTTCCGACTACACTTTACAAGGTGTAGCATATTTGTATAAATATATTTGATAAATTTAACGCATTAAATTTATCACTGCAAAGGAAAAATAATAAGTCTACTGCCAATGACAAAATTTCTGCGTTTAAAATGAGAATTTCAGTGCGAAAGATAAGATGTAAGGCAGGAGAATTTGACACTTTTGATAAATTCAGTTTTTATCTTTTAGAAAAGAAGATTCTCGTCGATACAGATTTTAAAAAAAAGCTATAATTCAACATCTTAAAAATCTGTTGATTAATTAACAATTATTTTACTGACGATAATGAAATTGAAAATTATATGTGGATAGTAAATCCTTTTTATATATATAAAAAAATTATAGCTTGTCAGCAAAAGAAGAAGAGCAATTGATTGACATTTCTACTCACACGACATATAAAAAAATGTTTTCTACTGTATTGTCATTCTTCGCTGGTCAAGTAAAAGCTTATCCAAATATAGACGATGAAGCTATAAAAAACTTTTACCATTTGTAACAATATATGTGCGAATGCGGTTTCCCAAATACTGTAACACTAAAAAAGAAACAGGCTTGACGCATCAGCAGACATTCGTTGTCAGTTAACAACGTGTGAATCAAATTTTGAAAAAATTGCTGAAGATTTATCGCAAGAAATATCCCCGTTAAATTTTGTTAGAAATTATTTTAGATGACTTCTGTAATATTATATAATATAGTTATCAAACAATAATAAATAAATGTATGTACCTGATTAAATTTATTATTATTTACGTAAAATAAGAAATCCACTTTTAGTTATAGTTAATTAGTTAAAGTTTTTCTATAGCGCTCAGTTATAAGGGCTGTATACATAGGCCTATTACGCAGTAATTATAAAATTAACATACAAAAATATAAGGGGTAATTAAGAAAAAACTATTCGGCTAATAGGGTACATCAACAAAAAAGGTTTAAAATCACACTGCCTTAAACCACAAAAACAGTAAAACATAAGCTAAAGCTAGAAAATCATAACTTTAAAAAGGATCCAACATATAAATAAAAATACTATCGTTAAATCTGTATATATATATTTACAGCACATAAACGTATATTTAAAAATAAATTTGATTTACAGTTTGAAACAATCAAAACAACTTTTAAACGGTTTTAGAAACATTCTTTTAATTTTCAATTGATTTAATTTCAGCTTTGATGAATTAATTATATTTTATTTTAAATTGTAATTTTTTCGGTTTTTCTTTACTGTAAACTGGCTATTTAGTATGCTTTAATTCGCTGTTATCTCCATGGTTACGACAAATCTTATTATAGCTTCCACCTGTTGTTCGTTCTTTCTTTCTTCATCTAAAAAACAGAGCTGAATAGATAAAATCCCAGACCAAATATGGCCTTGAAGCACCAAATAACTTTTTATAAACTACCGGTTTGAACTGGAAATCACGTAATTTTTAAATTAAAATATAATTAAATATTGCCGGAATTGTGAAGATGCCAAAATAATTTCGAACCCCTCTTTAATTTATACTTGCTATACTTTATTATAAAAGAATAAACAATGTATAAAATAAAAGTGAAGCAAATT